AAAGATTTTCCAACATGGTGTGACAAAACCAGCTCCTGCACGAATGTGCACACACACACACACACAGAGACACTCAGTGCACAAAATAAACACTATGCTCACAATCCCTGCTCGATGCAATAGATGCTGTTGCTAGCTAGATCCCTTCACGGTGGAAGCTCTTGGGTTTGAGGGCTTTCGGCTCCGTAATATGAAGCAAATCACAAAAGGTCTCATCCATTTCCACAGCATTTCCCGTGTAATGCAGTGGATAGTGAAAGAGAAGACCTACAGGGAATCTACACGTACAAATTCGCGCTTGCAAAGGCGACTGCGAGGAACCAAACCACTCCAATCTGCGCACTTGCTGTGCACGGTGTGTGGCATTACTTCTCTCGTGAATGAGGTATTTATTCCCTTGTTGTTTCTCTCCCAGGAGCGGCCAGCACTGTCCGCAGGATGGCAGGGAAGAGCTGTGCTGCTCCTCACTCCCGCCTCCTCTGCCTGGAACAGAGGGACAGTTCTGAACAGACGCAGGTTTGAGTGAGGGTCTTCTTTCACACTTGGCTGCCCTTTCCTTTCCTTTTTTTCTGCGTATGGATGCTGCAGAAGAAGTGCAGACACTTCATGTGATGTCAAAGTGAAGGGTGGGATCTTTAAATTTTTGTAAGCATTACTTTTAAAAAACAGGAAGAATCTTCATGTTTACCGGGACGTATGTGCCAAAATTATTTATTTTATTCAGAGACACTGTTTTTACTATGTTGCGGGTTCTTGTGTTGTTTTTTGTTTCTTAAATATGTGCCTTCCTTTGAGGGAGGAAGGCTTGTTTACCAGTGGTACAGAACAATTCCATTTAAGAAGGTTATAGCTTGGCACGGACCAAGTAGATATGGGGACAACACAAAACAGTTCTTCAAGCTTTATAGTTGCCTCAAAGCCTAAGGATTCCTGAGAGCCAGCTCCATCAGAGCCTCTGTGCCAGGCTGCACTCTCATCCTCAGGACACAGGCACATCGGTTCTGATTTACTGCACAGGGACAGCTAAAGGTGACCCTGATCTCTGACACCAACCAGCCAGCTGTGCTCTTTTCAGTTGGTCCCAGCTGGGCTTTCTGCTGCCTGAGAGGGCCCGATATGAGGAAGTAACTGCTTTGTTCAGTTATTGCAGCTGTCTCCTGAATCATCCTAAAAGGAAACTCCTGAGTAAGCTCAGCAAAATGAGCTTCTTTTAGACACTGTGCTGTGCTTTTGAATGGCTCCTAGCACACGACCATCTTCCCCATTATCTCCTCAGTGTCTTCATGGTTAACAAATAAGCAAAAAACCACCCCATTTTTGTTCTGAGCTACAGTACATACAATGGGATGCTGATGTAGTGGGAAGAAACGATAGGCAAGGAACACCCACAACACACATGCTTCTCTAGCTCTAAGAGGAACATCCGACAGAATGGACCTACAGACAAGAACATTTCTGTTTCAACTAGTTTGAAACAGGTAGTCTAGGTGCACCTCTGACATCACAGGCTTCAAAACCTACCCTGGCTTTTGGCTAAATAGCAAAGCAACCTGCCCATGAGGTGCATGATCTTATTGCTACACTAACACCATACCCAAGCCAGCGTCAGCTAACTTTGACCACTGAAATTGGTAATAAATGACTAGATTAAAAACGAAACAGGACAGAGGGATCTGCCAGCTCCTGGTGATTTGGATGCAAGTTAGCTGGGACAGGCACTAGGACCAAAGTCTCACAGTCTCTGTAAGCCCCTCACTCTACTGCAGCCTAAGGGAAGAAACTGGAGAAAAAGCCCACATCCAGTTTAGAGGGATGAAGCTGAAGTAACATTCAAAGAAATGTCATTGTAGACTTTGAGGCAAAAGTCCACATAGTTCAGGGCAGTGAACTCCAAATGAGCCCACCTCACTGGCCACCTGAATCACAGAATCACAGCATTTACTACCATCTGACTGCACAAAGGACATTTCCCCTGCTCTTGAAGTAAGGATGCCAATTAGCTTAACTAATCAGAAATAAAGATGGTATTTTTTCAACTCAATGCTCAAAGCTAGGGAATTACCCCTGGTTCTGAATTCAGCAGCGTTTTCCACCTAGCACAGAAGCAAGATACCGGTGAAGCTGCTGCTAAGTCCTTGCATTTCTCCCACACTATAAGTACAAGCTAGTCTCCTGCCTCTGAGCTGGGCAGTTTCTTTCACGAAGTTTGAAACACAGCAGAGCAAGTAACTTGGCTGATGACTGCTCACCGTTGTGACACAGCAGTTCCTAAGGGGGTCCTCAGAAAGCTGCAATTCTTTAAAAAAAAAGTAGTGGCATGCTATTATTCGGACCCTTTCCAAGTGGTGTTACAGTTTGCTGGACCTAGTAAGGGCTGTAGACTAACCTTTTTCCAAGATGTGAAAACCTCCTTTGATTTACAGCCACCCTCAGCTAGCATGGGTTATGGGTGCTACTCTTCCAATTACTTTCCCCCATTTGCTTTAAAGACAGATAATCTTCTCCTGCAGCCAACACAAGCAAGCAACTGGAAGAGAACCTCTGCAGAGCTCACTGTCCCGAGGCATACATAGGGGAATGGAAGAGCTGTGAAGACACAGCAGTACAGCCTTGACTGTGGACAAATTTCCACCTGGCTTGGATGAGCTCGGCATCCAAATTTCTTCCAAATATAATAAAGATGAATGTTTATCTGTTAGATCTTCTGCCTTTTGCTCACTGCACCTGTCTGCAAAAGTACCGTCATTTCATCTTGAGGACTTTATCCTCAATATATGGCAGGATGAGGAATGTCTCAATGATGATGGTTTGTTTTTCTTTGACATCTCAGGACAAGTACCTCCCAGAAAAAGAATTATTTTCTTCTGGGAGACGTCCATACAAAACCAGACAGTTACAAAATGTAACTAAGTATAATAAATGGTTCTATGTTCCCATGCACACACTTGTGTGTCACCAGGCATCCAGTCGGCAACACTCCCTCAGTCCACAGATCTCAAGATGTATCACATCCTCAGCTCCACCCTCCAAAGGTAAGAGAAGGATAGAACAGAACTCATCTCGGCTGCATGCCTTCAAAGAGGTATATATAGGATTCAATTAATGTACAGAGATTATCGTAAATATGAAACTCTCCATTGCATCACTCTCAGATAGACACCCTAAGGGGGAGGCTTCCACTTCTGAAACAGATATCAATACTTGCCCATATTTCCTGACCAACTCCAGCCACTGCAAGAGAGAGCTGTTAAGAGAAACTAAGACTGGACTGAGCCAGTCAGGAATCTACCAAATGCTGATTTGTGAGAGTTAAAATGAAGAACAATCACTGTAACGATAATCTATTCATCACTAAGCAGTGTTGGTCGGGTATCATGATCTTATCAATATGATGTTTATTCTAGGATACCGCAAACACATTTTAGAAGCGTGAGAGCAAACAGTTTTGCTAAGTAGGTTTTATACATTTATAAGCCTATTACACATAAAGCTTTCCCTAGCGAGCTTTAGATCTTGTTTTTTTCATTTCACGTAGAGGGTACAGTGCTAACATCACACATCCAATAAAGCAAGTATTTCAGTTGCGCCGTGACTTTATTTTTGGTGTCAGTTCTTATTCATAGCATACCTCTTTTCACAGAAAATGTCAGTAAGTCCAGAAAGTTTTCCTGATTATTATGAACAATTAAACACATTGCTACATACTTCAAAAATCACGCTTTTATTTTCATCTGTCAGAATGTAACTGTTATTAAATTAGTCAGATACTTCTTCGACCAGTCATCTGTTTAGAAAACCAATTTCCCCTTACTGTTTAAATCAGGTCCCCTTTTCCTTTTTTTCATTAGAAGATGCAGTTTTCAGAAATAAAGCTTACCTGTTCACTTCAGAAGGCTTACCTCTGCTTCACAAAAAGGGATAAAGTGGTTTCTGCACAGCATTTTGTGGTGAACTATATATTAAAATTTTTAATCTGTGTTAACTGGATACATCTGCTTCAGAAATTAAGTCTGGCTCTATAAACCACTTCTGTTTTGCCATGTGTAAATTAGGCTAGCAGATATTTTGAAACTGATTAAGAAAGTGCTGTTAAGTGTGCAGCTACAGCCAGAAATGTGGTATTTATGTGACCCCCGATGTGAATGCTTCCCCTACATTTTTTCTGAGATGGCAAGATACTGTGTTTTCTAGTATCTTGTTTGCATTGCTGGCCTTTAAATAGAGAAGCAGCAACAAGATTATCTTCTATCTTGTACACAATAATTCTGCTTGTGTTCTAAAATCTGTATTAATGACAGATAGCAAGGCCTAATTACTGCAACCTCAAAGGTTTATTTCTGCTATCTGAACTATGTGAAAAGCATGGGCTTCTTTTCCTTTCCCGAGAGGAATGCAGAATTCCCAGCCTATGTGCAGTACTATTACCATAGCAATAAGACACTTACTTCCACTGCAAGCACTGATTTTCCTGAGCGAGACAACAATGTCTTTTGCCCTCCTGCCACAAATAGCTGTGCAATAAAATACACCATCTGTGATGTCTATTCCTGCAAGATTCTGCACCTCAGTTCAACAAACCACTCAACAGGTATGACTACGTTGCAAATACGAAATATACATCGTTTTTAGTATAAAGTCCATAGTGCTCCCAAGTACAACATCAGGGACTGCCAGTCATCTCATCTTACATCTGCCTTGTGTGCCATCTGCCCAGATGCGTCCAGTCACCTGAACACTCGGTCGCTGGAAGCATATTCATGCTTGTTTCGAAAGCAACTTTATACATGCAGTGTAGACATATATCACAGGACTACCAGTCCTTAAAATTAAGGTTCTAAATCTAGCTTGCTGATCAACAGTGAAGCAAGGAAGAAAATAGACATGATTTTGCAGAAGGTGTTCAATCTCATCAGGGTCTCTTGGGTTTCAAACTTAAACATGTTTACATATAACAGAAACTGCGTGTGATATTTGCAGAACTTATTTTTCTAGTACATTACCTTTAAGACAAAGCAGTGATCTGTGGGTGCCTTATATCTCAGTCTGTGTTGAGAACCATAATAGACGTTCATATTCTCGAATTGAAGGAAGCATGCCAGATCCCGTGAGGTCTACAAATGAAAACCAAGCACATCACTGTAAGAACAAATTGAATTTTGATATGAAAGTCATTAGCAGAATTTCTTCAAGTGCATGAATGCCAATGCTTTTTAATTTTTTAACTGTCACGAAGTTGACTGATGAAAGATTAATTTTAAGTGTGTGCATTCTTAAACTAACAATTGGAAGAGTGCCAGCACATCTTAAGAACAATATATAACAGCATAGCATTCTGCTGCTGTTCTGGTTTTGCTGTGCTTTATTGTTTCGTATGGAGGTTTTGGCTTATGGTTAGTAAGACCAACTAGAACACCACAGTAAGAAATAATTTCAGTAAAATAGATACAGGCCTTGCAACCACACCTTTACAATTCTGAGTGAAGAAAGAAGGTCTGGGGTTCTAAATTGCTTTGGAAGCTTGTTTTTCTTTGGTATATGTAATAAACAAAGCCTCATCAGGAAATAAGAACACATTTCATCTGTTTTGCTTTGAATTTTCTCAAACTTTCTGGCATCGTTCCTCTTCTGTTTATCACAATATTTGCCTGTTCACAACATGTTGCTAAAGTAACAAGGTTTCTGTTGCTGGCACACTTCTCAGTGCAGAATTCTGCATACAAAGCATAACTTTTGCAATCTTTGAGTGGAAATGCAAAAATGGCTGTCATGTGGTCCCTGTTAGCTAACCTGGGAAATCAGGAAATTGTGAAAAAAAGAAGAGAAAAAACAAACCCCAAAGCCTTTCTACCCCTAAGAATGGGTTACATTTCCATGTATGATGGTTCTTCTAGGATGTTCTCATTCTTGCTGATATTTTCACTACAATGCGCCCTTGAGTTGGGTTTATTTACAAATTGAGTTTGCAAGTAAGATTGTTGGGGAGGAGACACTCCATACTGTATGTAGACAGGGCTTTTCTCTCTCCCCTATTTCCCCTGAAGCTAATGTCAGGGATTTTGTCATTAACTGTGTGGACCTAGGATTTTTCAGCACTTAAGTTCCTAAACATGCTCAAAACCATGCAATATAATGAGTTCTTCCTTTCCTTCATAAACCAGGTAATGGCAATTAGGACCAATATATATGCAGTTATTATTTTCTTCTAAATAGGAACAAATTCTTATGCAAGGGACAAAGAGACTTACTGTTAGTATTTTTGCAATGTTAGTATGACAAAGCAATACAACTAACAGAAACAAATTTTAAAACTCTATTTGAAATTCTGATTCTGTTGTTCTGTGACTCTGTCCATTAACAGCATAGTTTCAAATGGGATATAAGTAGCGTTAACACTGGAGAAATAAATTAAGACAGCAATGCTGATTGGTGCCTGGTTTGTAAAGGAAAAAGCCCCAAACAAAAGCCACCAAAGGCATGCGAGTACAATAACCTGAACGTGTCCCTGTATTTTCACATTTGCAATGTATTTTAAAATCAACATGAAGTGCCAAAGGTTTGCCAGACTTCTTTGCTTTTTTATAACAAGTGAGAACATGCTTACATGATGAATTTCAAAACAGCTGCAGCAGCTGAAGATACTACTGTCTGCCAACTGTTTGTTTCTGTACCTCAATGAAAAATCACTCTACCCACAGCTGAATGGGTTGCGCATATGCAAGATGCACAAGCACTCTTCATACCACCCTGGTATGAACTCTCATAATTTAAGGGCTTTGACTGAAGAGCTCTACTGAATTCCGCTGCAGTGCTTTAAGGTGTTTAGCAGCCTCAGTGCACCCTGCCCATCTACTAGAGATTACTGTCTGCATGAAAGACGTGTACCTGAGCCTCAGCTGTTCCAATACAGATTCCAGTAATTAACTTCAAACACCATTAAACAGATCTAAGAGACTTGACTTTCTCTAGAATGACTCAGGCATGGACACATACGTCCTTTTGCTGAAGGCTGTTACAGAAACAGGAGCAAACAGTTGATTGTACCTTTTTAAAGAGCCACCCTATCTCAAAAAGAACTAGATTCAAAGTCCTCAATTCCTGTGAGTGGCTGAGTTAGTAAAATAGTGAGTTTGAAGCACTCACACAGTTCCTTAAAATGGCTCAGTTACAGGCAGGGTAGCACATAGGCTGTAACAACTAACAGGCAATAAAGTGTTAAACAGCTGTTATAAGGTGACATGGCTTGGTGCATGGCTCCATCCTGAGCCTGTATTTGCAGTCTATCACTTGAAAAAAGAAAACACTTTCCTAATTTGCACTCTGATGCGAAGTCACTGAAATGGGTATCAGTGGATGATGAAAATGGCTGGGTAACTACTGAAATATGCTTGCCCTGTTTGGCATTGTACTACCGCCTATCACTGGAGCCAAGTTACAAGGAAATGCCCAAGATGGACTTTTCGTTTGACTATTCTTATACTGTTTCCACCTTAAGAGCCTTCCAAATAGCATTCTAGTTCCTAATTGGTAGGATGTTTGTGTGTGCAACATGATTTGAGGCCTGAAAGCTGTTATCTCAGGGTCATGTAAAGTACAAATAACTTGCTGTGATATCAGCAAGGTAATCTAGGTCTGTGTTTCACTGGGATATAAACATAGGTCACTGGATCAACATCATGACATTCCTTTACAAGCTATCTTTTTTCTTCCCTTTGTAGGTTAGTCGAGGAATGGCAGAACAGTTAAGTTTCACAGGACAAATCAAACAGTAAAACTTCAGGAGCAGCACCAGAATTTTCAAACATGAAGCGTTAGCAGAGCTGTAAGTGGTAACAGAAGAGGCTTTCAAAATACACAAAAAACCTCACAAAAAAACCCAAAACCAAAAAAAAACCCACCAGTCCCAGAAGCCAACATTCTACCTCATCACTGTGGAAATGAGAAAACAGCTGCCCTTATATGCAATACATCCAGGACCCCTTTGCTTCTCCAGTGCTAGCAATTCAGACTCTTGAAATATTTTGGAATACTAAATGTCAGTGCATTTGACTTGGTCAGGTGGATACTTCCATCTCAGTTCTCTCTGCACAAAGGGCAGTCTTAAAAAGCACAACACATTCTCTAGGTAAAGATCACAGTAGGAAAAAATGTGTAGCATTTCTGCATGCTTGCATGGAAAGTCACTATCAAACAAATCAGAATTCCACCTTTTTGTGATGAGAAATTAGCTTACTTGAGAACTTTTAAAATATTCTTCCACAGGGAACCCATGTAACAGCGAAGTATTTTGGCAGCATAACACTCCCTGAAGGGTGCTGTGCTGTTTTTCTTTCCCTGCTGGCTTCTGGAGGAGTGCTATTTCATTAATGCTTTTATTTATCCATAGAAATCAAAAGGAGAGAAACCTGACAGGAATCAGTGACTACATTCTAATATTTGCTCAAGTGGTCTAGTCAAAGTTAAACCAAAAAAACCCCAACCCTCTCAGATGCACCAGACACTGCTCTTAAGATGTCACCTTGGGAGTTCTTCACTTTCACCTACATGAATTGTTTTATTGCTAAAAGGATTATTTGGCTTCCTGACCTTGGTTTTTCCTTTGGGAACATAATAAATTCCAGAAGCTCGTAGAAGAAAATAACGCCTCTTCCAGGACTTTTTTCCATCTTCTTTTAAATAAAGGGCCCCTTCAAGCTCTGGCACAATGACAGATGTCCCACAGAAGCTTTCCTGTGCAATAAGAATAATACACAAAACAGATTTGATTTAAGCACAACCTTATTAATGGGAGAAAAATGCTCCCTTGAAAAATAGAGACTTCTACTGTGACAGTGAACATGGCGAATGCAGTTCTCAGGGAGATGAACACCTTAGACAGGCAAAGGAAACTTTTCCAAGCTAATGTGGTAACTCAGTCATGCAAGGCGGGTGCTCACACTGGAAAAGAAGGCTCACAGAACCTCCATTCTCTCAAGGGTCAAGCGAAAACCTACAAAAGGTTTTAACTAAACGTAGATATGCTCAGTGAAGGCAATAGAACAGAACGGTTGGTACTGCTGCTGTTGGTTTTTCTCTATTGCTGTATCTATAGGTTCTGTAGAGAAATACTTCTGTAGAGAGAATCTTCAGGAACTGCTGAGAGTTCTAAAAATGGCAAAGGAAAAAACTCCTCTCAATCTCTGCTTTCACTTGGAAATACATGCTAGCATTTACAACACTTCAAAAAAATATACTTCATTGTTTGCTTGAAGGACCTACTGTTGGCTAATTTTTAATGCCAACACACTTATCACTTAATGTTTTAATTTAGAATTTACCAGGACTTCTGCTGGTTGACATCTGGTGCCTTCATGAGAGGCACTTAACTTTGACTTTGGTAGAAATTCACAAAGGAAATGCTGTGCTTGGGCAACTGAGGATTCCCATTTCAAACTGCTTTGCAAGAGAACTGTAATAATCTTGTCCTTCATATAGCTCTGGATTTTTCACTCTCAAAAAATGCAATAGCAGGAAAGGCAAGAGGCTAAACAGACTTTCTGGAAAGTGCAAAGGTTCTTTTTCTGTTGTAGTACAGCCAATAATTTGAAGTAGTGAGAAGTACATCTACTTCCAATCCAAAAGATAATTGTTTGCTACTGATCAACCTTACTAACAGTACAAGTCACAATGGCTGGGCTAAGGGTGTGGCACAGCTGTTTCTTTCACTCATATTTGTATAACACTGCTTTTATTGTTATCATGGCATTATACTTCATAGACACACTAAATAAAAACTTTTCATGGCACTGGAGTCTATAACAACAAAACCTCCATTTATCTTCTCTGACAGGGGATACAATCTGCATTTTAATGGTGAGCAGCAGGTGCAGAGGAAAATCCTAATATTAAACTTTAGACACAATGACACCAACCAGCACAGAACTTCCTGTTGTCACACATTTTCCCACAAAGAACTAAATGCTGCTGTTGCAGAGCAGATGCAGATGGTGGCAGAGTTTTGGTGACATCTGCATCATCAACCTAGAAAGCTGGCTTACCTCCAGTAAAGCCTCTTTGTTTTTATCATTCATTTCTTTGCTTTCATTCCTTCCTTTGCTTGCAAGGTAGAAGTTCTGATTAAAACACAAAAGAAATTGATGTTCATTATAAAGAGAGCAATGCAAGTAACTAGATCACTACAAACCCATTCAATAGTTAGTCTGTCTTTCAGTACTGAGTACCCAAGCCAGCAGATGCAAGAGGCACATGCTTATGGATTCTTCTTATAGAAAACTTTAATCACAGCTGCCTGCTTGTTTTAATTATTTATTTTGAATAAAATTCAGAAGTAATACAAAATTACTTCTGCCTATGGATATACAGCCTTCCAAATTTTTAAAAACACTGGCTTATGTTTTTTATGGCTGTTTTTCTGGATCAATGGGTTTGATTTTATCATTCTAATTTTCACCACTTCCTCTATTATTACAGACAGTAGAGAACATAACATTTTATTGCATGCTGATATACAATGAATACAATGCAGTATCAAAAGGCTAAGAAGCATTTTTCCCCAACAAGCCAGTTGGCAATTTGCACACTTCATGCCTGGCACTCTGGATGTATCTTAACTCTTTTTTTTTTTTAAATAAAAGTGCTTATATGCCAAAGTTATTACTTTCTACTTTCAACCCCCTGCTCCTGCTCTGTGAAGTATTTTATGCAGCGAGGAAGAAATTAGAAGAAATAATCACCATGATATCTTGGCACATGAAAACAAAAGCCTACACTTTGAAGTGACCCTCCACTTCTGTGACAGAGGGCTGTGAAGCTGCAGCTGCCCTCAGAGGACACAGTGTCTGTCTGCCCCTGCAGACAAGGAAGCGCAATGCCTTGAGCACACAGATATCAGTAAAAATTAATTCATGCACTGTTAAACAGCAAAAACAATTCTGCATCCACCTGCATTGTACAGATGGACAGGACAGCACTTGGACATATGTGCAAATTCAGGCAGTGGGAAGTAGCTCAGGACCATGGTGGTGTGCTGGAACATGGGCAGTGGCTTTGCTGAGCACCAACCATGGCCAGATAGCAGAGCTGACTGCCTGCAGACAGTACAGCAGCTGGGCATGAAGGAAGCACGCAGATGAAGGAGTGATGGCATGCATCAAGTTCTACATAATTTTCCAAACAAAAGTACATGCAGTAGAGGAGCTTGGGTTTGGGAAATACTTGATACATGGGACAGTCTTACTGATTTCCCTGGAATTAGTCAAAAAGCTAAGTTTGCAGAACAAAGGGCATAAACCAAACACAGCCCATTGTCTAGGAAATGGACAAAACTGTAAAAACCCAAAATATATTGAAAGCTATCTACTTAAAAATTACTCATAATTCTTCAGCAATTCCACAGGAAGAAAACTAACAGCTTCTCTCACTTTTCATCTCCATTTTTTCATGTCTCTAGACTATGAGAATATGGCAACATATTTACATGCCTAAAACTCCACAATGACTGAACTGCAACACAAATGCAAACATTACCAAAAGACAAATAAGAAGTGTGTAAATGAAGGAACATGCTGTTGCTATAGCATAAGAAAGAAACAAACAAATAGCATATCTGCCCTGCCAGCAATACCATGTTTACAGCAATGAGGTTTATCTGAAGTGAAACCCTCCTGTTCCACACAACCACATCTTCTTTCTCAAGCAGTGCAATGAACAGCTGTCTGCCAGAATGCAAGCCTCATAGCAGACAGTTCTTGGAGGGGCACCAGGAGAGGAAGAGGAAGAGGTGTGGGTGATCTTAAAATCAGTTCTTTAAAAACTTACCTAAAATTTCACAGTAAATTAGAATTAGGGAACATTAGAAACACAGCCACCTGCAATTTGGCCTATGCTGATGCCGTAACTATGGTATGAACATGAGAAAAGCAACTTGAACCTCCAATACAGTACACAGTTATGCTAGGAAATATTGCTGGCTCTAAATTCCCTGGGCACAACTTTAGTCCTTGGCTGAAGGAAAGCAAAAACTAAGGATCACAGCTTCGTGACTACCTCTGAAGACAGTATTCATAGTGGAAAAAAATTCAAACTAGCTCAAAACAAAACCTGCTTGAAAGTGGGTTCTTGGTACAACCCAAACAGCAATGAGTGCCAATGCAGCAAAACCATAGGTCTGAGTGAGTGACAATGCTTCACTCATCCCAGTGGGAAAAAAAGACACTGTTGTGAGCAGCCAAGTCCTCTGTATATGGGCAACAGCTCTTCTTGAGAGGTGGCACTATCACAGCACTGCTGGCTTGATGTTGGTACAACTTCTTTTGCATTGATAAGGGTATGAAGAGAAGCCTCAAAGGGCACTGTTAGGCCTCCAGGCTTTGGGATGGATTTGGAAAGTAGAGGGACATGCAAGCTGTAAACCGCCTTCTACAGATCATTATAAAGACATAGTAAACCCCTAAAACATGCAGTGAAGATTTATTTATCCAGGTAAGCACAAGTGGAAAAGCATTTTTCTTTACTACCGGTGGAAAAGCATTCATCTGGCTTGGTCAGCCTTCAGTGCACTGATAACAGGAAAACAAAGCTACTCTGATTAGAACTGATTCACATTCAGGCATCTGGCATGTATTCAGCAGAAACAGACCACCCTGTACTGACATAATCAGTGGTAAAGAGAGAAAGTTTGTAATGATATCCATGCTGGATCTTTAAGAATGCAGCTTTTTCATTAGGGAAACTGGGCTCTGTCAGCTAAACCAATGCTACACAGATGTACACTGTCATCTTTCACCTGTCAACATACATTTCATTTATTATCTCCTTTATGTTTCTGCCCTGAAATCTGGAAGTACGTGGTACTTATTATTTGTCAGCAGCTAAAAACCTGGGGAGCAGACTGCACACTGTACTTGTTTTATCACTGTGTGGTCTCCTATTTTTGATCAGAAGCAGTCATCCTATAGGAGGCAAACCACATGTGTCCACATGAGGTCATTCCAAGCCCAGTAGCCAAAGGTCATGATAAAAGGCAAGCTCTCTCCTGTCTGAGGACACCACTAGGAAACGCATATTTGGTTTGAGATCTCAGGTCATTAATGGGACAAGATGTGGCTACAGGGCAGCTCTCTGTGTATGTCTACAGATCTGGGAATAACTATTTTTGACATTCAAAAGACAATGTCTTTCTCTTGATAAAGAGCTGAGCTTACTTAACAGGACGGATTTATCGACTTGGGCTGATAACACAGGAAAGTAAACATAAAGGGTTATTTTAACAAACAAAACAAAGCATGTGTCACACTTTGTCATTGGGTTTGCTTTGTTTGCACTGTTTGGGTTATCTGATGCAGAAATGAGCTGTTGAGTATTTTTGCTGAATTACTCCCTGTGCCTACACAGCTCCAGACCAGCTGAAGCTGACATAAAGCCAGTTGCTCTCCTATGCCATTCTGCTCAAACCAGACTAATGCAGAGCTGTAGCTGCAGTTTTGACATGTGCTGCTAGCCAGGTACGATACCCTTCAGGGACACTAGCTGATGACCCATCTATGGCACTACATTAGCAGGAAACTGCACAAAAGAAAATCCTGTCAAGATTTTTTAGCCAGCTTAAGTTAATTCTGTGCTTTGTACTGTAAAGCACCAGTAGGCCATGCATACAACCTTTCCATTTAGGGATACAATGATCCCATTTTGTGTGGAAAGGCAGGTAAAAAAAGTCAGGCTGTATCTCTCTCCTCTGTATAAGCCTCAAACAGTGGAAGACAGGAGGTGTTTTCAATAGTTTCGAAGAACATCTCTGGTGGCATGTAAGCAAACCAAACTTGGATCACAGCAGAAACAGTAGCCTTAAGTACTGCACTGCCAATCCTCTGATTGACGTTGCATATCTCCGTATTTGTAAAGAAGAATTTCCTAAATGAAAAAGCAACTCTCTCATACTTTTTTTCATACACAGCCCTATCCAAGCTGGAATGAAGCAGCTACTTGTCAGTATGTAGCAAAAACCAGGTGCTCAAGACAGCATCCTCCCTCTGCTTAGATTGGGTTTTTTGTTGCTTTCAATCTATGGAAACTGTTTTCCCAGAAAATCTGCAAGGTCCACAAGAGTCACTCTGAAGATCACAAATGTAGATAAATAAATGAAGCTAAAGGCAAAGCTCTTTTGAAGCCCCTGAAAATTAATTTGCAATGCTGTTTACTTGATTTTATGTTTAAAGAAATCACTTAAAGAAAGCAGATTAATTGTTCATGCCTTGAGGATAATGGTCTTCATCATCAAAGAGGGGGGAACATGGAAAAATGGAAGACATACATAAAATAGGATGCAGCTAACAGCAAAGCATTTAATAGGCTGATTAAATCACATGTGTAAAGACTTTCTGCATAACAGTTTCAAAGCAGAAAAATACTTATTGAAGTAGCATCTTCAACTTGAAACTATACCATAGATGGAGATACACTAATAGAGAAACTAAGATTACTAAACAGTGAGAGTACAGTGAAAAATACTTCCCTTTTCTCACTCCTGTTTCTCTGTGCATATGCCAAGACACTCAATAATCAGGTTCCCTGCCACCCTTCCATGCTTCCTTCTCTGGGTAACAGTTTTCAAAATAATTTTTCAAGCATGAAACTCACTGTTGCTGTCCTGTTATGAAAGACACCACAAATTCTTACTCAAACTCCTTCTCACGCTGTTTAGTACTCTTGTTTTTCAGAAGAAGAAATAAAATGTCAATTCAGTGTATGGGTTCTCCATTGGAGGGGATAGATCTTGCTTTTGGCTTTGATATGAGGGAGCAGAAGCATGAAGTACTCTCTATATAGATTTTTATTAATTTTCATAAATGATGCCCCAAAATAATAAAAACCAACCCAACCAACAGCCAAACAACAAACTAAAAAACACATGAATGTGGTGTCACCTGCACTGTTTGAATTTATCCTGTCTGCAAAAATCAAACACAGGTTTCTAAGAGCATGACCAGCATTTACAGTCAGAAGTTTAGATTCAGCTGCCTCTTATAAATAACCCCGTATAAATGAAACAAAAGAAGCATTTCCCCCCTTTTTTTTTTTTTTTTTTTAGTGTCTCTTTTTTGCTGATACTTGTTCTTTGAGCTTTTTGAAAAGAGATGTTGAGACCTGACAACCTTTCCTTTCAAGAGTCATGCGCGGCATCCCTCAACTGCATGACCAAGCATCACCCTTCCTATGTTATAAAAGTTTTCTTTATTTGCACATGCACCAACATGTATTTTTGTTTCACTTCTTAGTAGATGAGTCACTGATGCCATTCATGGAACGGTCTTTCACTCTGAGCTCCCTCCAGGGTAAATTGTATCACAGTGAGAAAAGGGCACGAGTGTGGCTGTCTTTGTAAAGGGGGGGACACCTGAGGATTTTGCAGGTACTTTCCCTAAAATATATTCCAAGCACTTTAAGAAATAGTTTTCAGAAACAAAGCTGCAGAAAAAAAATATTAAAGAGTACTGCATGACAAGAATGGCAATCTTCCAAAAAAAGACACTGGCATTAGCTGAGCAGCCTGCTGCTACCACAGACATAGAAGATAAATCCGGCATCTCAAAACCTCAGTTCCTCCTTATAAAATGAAACATGTTTAATTGACTGTTGTTTAATCTATACCAGGAATATAACTAGTTAACAGAGAGAAACAATGAATATTGGCACAGGGTATTTAAGAATTTAAGGATATTTAAGAATTTAAGGAAGAAGTTCTTCACTGTGAGTGTTGTGAAGCACTGGAACAGATTGCCCAAGGAAGTTATGAATGCTCCATCCCTGGCAGTGTTCAAGGCCGTTGGACAGGGCCTTGAGCAACCTGGTCTAGTGGGAGGTGTCCCTGGAGAGATTTGAACTAGATTATCTTAAGGTCCTTTCCAATCCAAACCATTCTGTGATTCTATGATTCTATATACACCTTCTCCAGAGGTCAACTGGTTTTAGCAATGCAACCATGTTTATAAAATTGTTTTTAAATCATTTAATTGTGTCAAATCTCTGTAATGAAAATTTTCTATCATTAACTTGTCCAAGAATCAATTCTAAGCACCTGGCCACCTTTGGAATCTGACTAGGACTTTTTTCCAGCAAAATAACCTGCAAGAGTCAAACCTGTGAGATCTCCACTGACACCCTCTGGCAGAATGAGCAGTAAGTAAGACCAACAAGGAATCCAACTGCTGCTGCATTACCACCACTGGCTGTGTCAAAAAAAGCATTCTGTAGTTTCTGTACTCACAAAATGAGTTTATAAGGCAACCTTGACTGAGCTAGGAGGAATTGTCTGAAATATACTGAGAATGTGGCACCACAGCACTGAATTTCAGTGTCCCACTGGTTACACTGTAATTTCCCTAAGCAGTTAGTTAGGTACCCACACACCCTGCCCCCCACTAACTCAGCATTTCCTCTTGGTTCACCTTTTCAGGGACTCACTAGAGATCACGCAGTTCACCAGGTTTCACTATGTAGTGTGAGCTCTGTCTGTACAACACTGATTGTTTTCTGCCAAAAAGACAAACTGCTGATATGACTGCACTCTTTTGCCTGTCTCACGATGTTTGAATTTACTCAGCCTGACAGATGGTTAGACTTTATTACTGGCAAAATATTTCAATAGCGTGATAGTTGCAACTGACCCAGTTTCCTTAGGCTGTTCATTTTATAGCTTATTACAGAGGGGCTGAAGCTCAAGGACTGCAGACATGTCCAGATCCAGCTCAGCACATCCTGAGATGGGAGGACAGAGCTACACTCTTATTCTAGTTTTGGTTCAGGTCATGTGTATTTCTGAAGCTCACTGCAATCCAAATGCCCAGAATCTTCATCAATTGTTTACTTCCTACAGAAGGCTCACAGCCTAGCTCTAAGACACTTGCCCCAACAATGCTACTAAGTGTACGTATGAATCAAATGTATGATTGAACCTCTGCTGCTAGATATGTTGTGTGCATTAGAAGTTATGACATCTTGAGCCATCATGTATGTTTTACTTCCAAACTTGGCTTTGCTGTTTCATATTAAAAATCAACATCAATCCATGTACACTGCAGGATAAGTTTTCCTTCCCTCACTATGGATACCTGCTATGTCAATGAAGAAAACTTCCTCTCTGCAGGTTTTATTTGAAACACTGGCTCATTCTAAAAAAAACAAAACTCTGCCTTCCTAATGAGCACATTGATGAGGTTTGCTGCCAAATTATATATGACTCATTTTTCTCAGCAATGCTGAATTGCTCATTTTTCTCTTGCTGCCCTTGGGAACAAATCAGATGCTCAGTGAGCTAACAGACTACTGACAAGGGGAAAAGATCTAGTGCCACAGAATCCATCAATTGTATGTGCCAAGGTGTTTGTAAATACAATTTTGACCACATATCACAAGAAATAAATTATAAAGTATCCTGAATAATTTGTTACAGTTCAGTGTGCAGAACCTCCTTTTACTAAATTAATGTGCACAAGTTCCCATCCACCCAGTTCTCCCCAGGCTAAACTAAATCCAAACAAATTCTCTGCAGTACTCAGCACAGTCTTTTATAAAGTTTCATGTACAACTGGGAAAAACTGGACCTTTGAGGAAATGCTGATTTCCGTCAGTAGAAATAGTGGAGAAACTGTAGTAATGATAAAGGACAGTTTTTTGTAGCACCTAAGCAACAGTACCAGTGAGAACTATGTGCTTCATTTTTTACCAGTGCAGAAAGGACTTTAAAATAGTATCAGAAAAGAACAGAAAGCACTAATTTTCAAATCCCTGCATTTAACATTCTGGTTTGGGGTTATTTTTGTTGAAAGTACAAGTTTTGCTTTCTCCAATTCCAAACTGACAGAGCTGAAAGCAAATTAATAATGCAATGGGCAGCATACAGACTAAGTGACATAATTCTAGACTCTTATCCAAATTCCATGCTAGCTTACCTGGGGATTTTTAAATAAAGCATATTTTTCACTTTTTTCCAAAAACATAATCTTATTCGCAGTGTCTCGGGTCCAGTTTGATAACACTTCAACAACATTTTCATGGTCTTCAAAAAATCTTTCTGCAGAGACAGAAAAGGTAATGTAAGACACTCAAACTCTCTCTCCCCTCTCCTGAGGCTGCAGAAATTCCTGTTAAGAATGTAATCATTATCTGATGTTTGCTCAGAGCTGCACTCTTTTCCACTGCACGGAAGGGAGCAAATCCACATGGAAATAGTGTCATGTGGAGGGGTAAATCAGCTACAGAAGATGCCTTATGTACCTCTGGCATGCTCCTGGATTCCTCCTGCATCTCTGTGCTACTACATGAAGGCTGAAAAGGATGAAAACAGTGACCCACTAGGAGTAGATGGTTACACCCGGGTCTCTCAATGGCTTTTTGTTTTTTAAGGTCTGCAGTATGATTTGAGGGAAGAGAAGTATATATTCACTTTGAAAAAAATAGTAAAAACCTATTTCCTTGTCTTTTTATCTGTTGGAACAAATGAAAAATTGCTTTTTGTCAACAGGAAGAATTCTATGCACTGAAAATAAATGTTTTGTTTCAAGCAACTGCATTTAAAAACAGAAATAGCAAAACAGTGGAAATTAGAAGACAAACTGAGAACTGATGTGAAGATGCAGTTTCTCCCAGCATCTCTGCAGTTAAAAACCTCACCAGAGATGTGAGACCTAATGTCAATTCTCTCCCTTCCTGAGCTGATGTGAACCCAGATCCTCCACCCAGGAAAACCACAGGGTATGCTGAGGTCAGATAACTCCAATCTCTTCTTCTGAGGTTTCATTTGTATGAAGTAGCTGAACAGTCACACAAACCTCCTTTGGAAGGAAAAGGAATTGAGCATAATTTGACAGGTAATTTTGGAAGCACTGAAACTGTACTTTTTCTACAATTTCAGTACTGGGACAGGGAATTCACACAGCTCCAATTTTCAGCATGATTTTCGCAGTTCCCTGGGAATGGCCATACTCTGTTTTAGAGGTCTGTGGTGGTCACGTTTTCCAATGGCCTAGATTAGCCTAGCATTAAGAGGAGATAACAGAACATACATTTTGTAGGCTTTCTTTAACACTTCTTGTTACTTCTGCAGGGGTTCAGTATGTCCCATCAAAACTAAATTAGATTAAATTATTACTTCAATTCACAAAATAATATTAGCTTCAGGGCCAGTCACATGCACACAGTAACTTTCAACACAAGCAACATCACACTTTTCATTTAGCAACTGATACTTCTGCAATGCACTGGAAACATAACGCAGTGTATAAAACCCAAGTAACTGTTGAAAAGGGTAAACAGTATCTTACAGTTCTGGACAGCTGTAAAATAATTCTCAGGCAGTAACACTAGCTATTTAACACTGATTTTGCCACATGTGCTTTTGTTCATTCATTTCCAGTACCAGGCTTTTCTTGTATAAGAGGTTTGATCTTGCTATCCTCAGGAGGTTCTTTTTTATTATTATGGTTACCTAACAAATGTCAAAACTGGATGTCTATTATAAGGGAATAATCTTTATTGCAAAATATTGCTAGTATGTACAGTGCAGTGTTATATCACCATCTCACTACTGATATTATCTGTGATATTTAAAAGGCAATTAATCTAAAACTGTAGTTTATTTTATTTGCAAGGATCATCTTTCAAAGTAACAGTATATACAAGATACTCTCTCAAGGATCTTCTGACTAGCTTGGACTTTCAGTTCAGCCTGAAATATTTGCTGCTCAGATTTGCTTCTTACAGAAGGGAAAAGTGCAGAAAAGGGAAAGTGGAGGAAAGCCTGCCTTCTAAGCATGCTGATAGCAGTGGAGCTATCTAGAACTGCCGAGAAGTATACTGGCAATAAAGACCAGTTCACATTATTTTGATTTTAAACAAAATTTACTGCAGGTAGCTGTACACTGGAAGCATTCCATCCACATAAAAATTGTCTTCTGTAAACTGAAAAGCTCCATTCCCAGCTGATTTGGATCTGGTGCAAGACCTCTGCATCAGGAGTTCATAGACTTTTCTTTTTTTTCTGAACCAACTACTGATTTATGTCCTTTCACACTCTTCTTCTGTCCTGGCTTTTCAAATAGTTTATATTCATTATGAAAGTAATTCCTTACTATAGCAATAGCCTAACCCAAAGCACCCAGCATTAGCTAGGACTAAAGTAACACAATCTGTCTATATGCTGTCATCATAATACTCAAATATGGTTGTCCAAGTCACACTAGACCAAAGGAAGCAACTTCCCAAGACAAAGAAACACTCTGAAATTATTCAGTGACACCTGTGACATTTCTAGCGTCCAATGACATTTGCAGTCTTTCCTCACTTAAGATAAGCAGGTATAAAAGAACGCAGCAACAGTGTTTCATGTATCATCTTTATTGAGTAGAAAAAATAGATGGCAGTTGATGTCTCTGCCATTTCTACAACCCAATGAGTACCTCCTTGCACATGAGCAGTCAGTTTTTTCCCAGCTATTTTTACATTTGTTTTAGTTTAGCAAGATGATTATTCCTGAGGCTCCGAAAATGCAATATTGGTATTTAACTTTATTTGTGCATTTTTACATCTCCGCTTACTGTAAACTGAGAATACTAAAGGCTGTTTGACAATTTCCTGTGTCTATAGGTCAAATGTGATCCTGGAAGAAAGTTGTGGCAATTTTCCTTTTCCTTTGTGAACACCTTTGCAGCCTGGACAATAAAAAGATTCTAAAATATCTCACAATGAGAAAATATGCCACTGCTTGCTTGGCCTTGAAGCCTTTTTGAGACAAAACTCATTAAGTTGCACCAAACAATACATTAGATTTGCACAGCTGTTTCTTAGGGATCTGGAGGCCAGGTTAGTTCTTCTTAAATCATACGGTACTATGAGCAAAGCTGCAGCCCTGTCAGACAGCAATATCCTGATCACAACTACAGTTAAGAAAATGACTATCACAAGTGAAAAGCATCAGAAATTACTGAAATGCTTCTCATACAGTCTTGTTCCATTAAAGCATTTGTTTGGCCAATATGTAACAGCCTTTTGACAGCACTTCAGCCCTGCATCCTCTCTTCAGAGTAGAGTACTCCTGTGCTTGGGTCTGTCACTGCCGTGACAGCGAAATCACATGTCCCCTTAATTTTGTGTAAAACAGAATGACAGAAATAGTGGTGGGCAAAGAACCTTCTGCAGCTCAGAGGCCAGATGAATGGAAGACTCATTCCTACGGGAAAAACGGCCCACGTACATTCCCACACCATCCCTCAGCTTAGACACTGTGATGCTCCAAAACCAGTGGACACATAGGCACAAGAAATGTTATTAATTCTCTTTTCAAGATCACCAATAGCAAAGGATGCACTATATCTGTTTGCTATATGCTGTGTTACTACACCACTTACCAATTTGCAGTTCTGGGTATATTTCATACAGACACCAATCGACGTTGCAGTCACAATGGGTTTTCTCAAAGAGGTTGTCTAAAACATCCCGCGTCACCTGACGCTCATCCACCATTAGTGACTTTGAGCTGTTATCGTACATGTGCACCTTGACAACAAGCTGAGTACAAAGTCACAGAAGAGTCAGTTAATTTCAGAAGCAAGTAAAAGGCTAGTCTGAATCTGCTAACAGAGATAAGAAAGATTAAGGCTGAAGGTTATTACTGATTCAAAGGCACCCTGTCCCACAGTGAGCTGCGGGAATAAAACAGCCTGGAAGCTTTCACATGACATTGCTACAAAAATAAAGACCTTTTCTCAAAAAAGAAAATTGAACCTTGTCCTGTGCATGACTTCAGGAAAGGTGAAATTGCTATGGAGAAAAAGCAGAAGTTAATCTCTTCTCTAAATCTACTAGATGTGCAATTAAGGAAAATGTTTGATAGGGAAACCAAATACATACCAAGGATGGTGTGTCCTTAATGCAAGCTAGAAAGGTGGAAAGTTTAGCTTTAAATAAGAATGGAAAAGTCTTGCCATGCCAACAGACTAATCTAAAATCACATTGTACTAAGGTGGGCATTAGTTCAACACTCATCAATAAGCAAACAGATGAGTTACTTATATTGACCAAATCGACCTAAGACACTCATTATTTCTTCAAAATGTGAAGTATTTCTTAAACAAGAAACAGTGTGACTTTTTATCCAGAGAGGAACAATGCAAGAAAATGCAAGAAAATGCTGAAGTACACAAAATGCGATAAAGAACTGCATTAGTACTGAAAACAGAAGAAAAACTGTCTACAGCATCTGTACATGGAAGCTGGAACTAAACTGGTGTTTTGTTTAAACAGCTCCTTATTTTATAAAATGTGTGCATAAGAAGCTTTGGCACTATTAAGACAATCTCTGTAAAAGATCAGGTAGAAGCAGAGAGAAAATCTACACTATCTCTAAAAAGTAAAAGCAAATATAACAAAAAAAGAGCACGAACTTGCTTTGATTCCAGCACTTGTAAGTATCTTCTCTAAAATAAGCAACTGAGCCATAGTGTAGATTATGGAGAAAAACAAATGTTGTACATGGATAATCTATAACATGTCTGGGGAAAAGAGGGTATTTTTGTCTGATTACAGCTGACTGCTCAGAAACATACATGCAGCTTCCACCTGCGCAGAATCACAGAATGGCTAAGATTGGAAAGCACCTCTGGTTCAATCCTATGCTCAAGCAGTCCACCTAGAGCCCATTGTTCAGGTCCCTGACCAGATGGCTTTTGAGTATCTCCAAGGAAGGAGACTCCACATCCTCCCTGGGCAAACTGTGCCAGTGCTCAGAGTTACTGAACACCTAGAGCTTCTTTTGAGTTCAGCTGTTAACACTAGCTTAGGACGTGTGGTCGGAATTACCCGACACACTGCAGTACTGTGCAGATGCTGGCTGGAAGCTTTCTTATTTCTTGGTCTAAAATAATTTGCATTCTCCTTTTACATTACTACACTGCTGTGGAAAGATTTAGTAAAAAGACCCTCATTAACTTAGTTAGGATTAGCTACACCTATATCCACTGTAGAAGAAAAGTTTAATACCTCTGGAATCAGCACAGCATAAATAAGCAATGTTTTTATGTACATCCCACCTTCTCTAAAGTGACCTATCAGAACAGTACGTTTTGCCCCAACACTGGAAAAAAGAAGAAGGTAGAGCCTTCCAAGCCCTCTTAAAATAAGTTCCTCACAGGCAGCATTCTCCCAGAGACTTTTCTTCTAGTGGATGACAAGATGGAATATGATTAGATGCTTAAGGTACAGACAAGGCACTTACTAGTTATTTCAGTAAGAAATTTATTATTAACAAGAATGATAAGAGACACTTGGTTGGTAGCTCTTATGGTAGCAATTCATGATTTTAAGGCTCACCTTTCTAACTTTGGCTTCCTTCAGTTTCTCCAATGCAAGTTTAATCTTGTCAGCTTTAGCCTGTGCCTCTCGTTCTTCCTGAAAAGACACAAGATATTTAAGCAAGGCTAGCAATTTATGTTTACTTGAAAGGAATTGTTTATTGTTGTTTATATCCAGAACATAAGGCTTGCCATGGAAAATTTCAGTTACAAGAAATTCTCAGCTTTCTTTAAGCTAATATCCCGCAGCAGCCAAAGCTTTGTTTTACAAGTCCAGTACTCCATTCTGTTGCCCAGTCATATAGCTCTTACATGATCTGTTCCTCAAATGTATGCCCGAAAACTGTACCCTTCTATGTCTCCATATGGGTTACAGGTGATACAAAAGAGAAGATGAAGGAAGGTCAAGCCTGAATGAATTGGCATTTTGGATGCAGCTGCTTGGAAGAAAACTCACCTCTTGATAGGGTGAATAGAACTAGAGTTTTTAGAACCTTGCTGAAAACTTGGCTTGCAATTATATCACTTACAATTTTACCCTGTTAAGTACATTAATTTACTTGAATTATTTCACTTGCCACATATGAGCTCTTACTGCATGCACAGTTACTGGGAGGAACACCACCTTAAATTGGATGGTATCATGGCTTTTTATTCTAGTAATGGGCCCATTCATGTTAACACAGGTACAGTTAGAGCATTCAAGTTCATTTGAGCTTTTGCTGAATGCCATAGTAAGACTCCTAAAAATCTCAGTATCACCTGACTTTCCTTTTATAAAGCAGCCGTATCAATACCATACCTCTCTCTTACTATCAGTGAGGTTTGTGATCCAAGATGCAGCTACTGAAAGTCTGGTACACATACTAGATGCCAGTGCCTATTGTTGTCTCTGTGACTGGTGTACAGATTGTGACTATTTCTTTTTGCCATCTGCCTTCCAGTAGTCTCCCCCAGTCACATACAGAGTTGGAAAAGTACATTTTCTATACTGTAATCATGGGAGATGCACTTGCAAGAAGCTAGGCCTAACTAAGCATTGCTGCTACTTCCTTCTTACAGAGATATCACAGGATCATAGTAGCAACAGAAGCTCTAAGAAGGTTAGCTTATTCATCCCAAGCTTTGAGGCAAGTTCAAACGTAACTGAAGTACTCCTGACTAAATTGCTGAATTAAACATCTTTTGTCACTGCTTCCCCAAGATACTAACATCTTTAGGATGTCAAAAATACAAGGTGAGGCGTGCAATCTGAAAGAGATGGCTTCAAGCATGTTTGCTGCTGTCAAATTCTCTGCTATAAACACGAGACAACCAGTTAAAAAATGCTGAGTTTTTTTTTTATCTCTACAGGTATGGAAATTTGCACTGATGCAGCTCAGAGATGCTTAACTTTGAGAACCCAAAACCAGCTTCTGTAGTTGAACAGAAGCTGCTGGACAAAAATTTCTTTCTGAGTAAGGCTGACTGTTCTACAGAGGGAAGAGCTCATAGCCTCTCAAACTGTGGCCCTCTCCTTTACCATCTACAGAACACCTCTCTGCTGGAATCAGGAAAAGCATCTTAACCAAACTAGTTGAGTGTGGTGTGGACAGGCTTTCTGCTGAAAATTTTAAGCAGGTATGTGACTTGTGTTGAACAGAGTTCACATAGTGCACAAATCTGTGCAAAAGCCCTCTCACCTTCACGTTTTCACAACCTTTGTTTGTCTTAATGCAGAAAAAGGAAATGATCCAATGTAAATAAGCAAATTTTAGCACTCTTACAGAAATGTTTTGACAGGCTAAAAGATTTGTTTTTCCGCTACAGTATCATCACCATGTGTTCTGGATCTTCAAACAGAAGAACATAAAAATTATCCAGATAATGTCATAGAAAATGCAAAAGCCTTATTTAGCTTAAGAACATCTGAGCTGATGGAAACTTATGAGACAGGTCTATGCTTCCATGAAAGAAAGGCTGAACTTCGTAAGTTTTCACACGCATAAAGGTTACAAAATAAGTCTGGGAATAATTAACACTATTCTTACTTGACTGCAGACAACCAGAAGTGTTAATAAAAATGTCAGCCCTGATTGGTTCAAGAATCACTTATCAAGAATCCTGGCTAAAAATAACATGGATTTTGATGGAAAAAAATACATTCCATTCTTAGTTGCATTTCATTCTACTGAGTAAAGATGTCATGTCAAAACAAATACTAACCAAGACAGTAAATGCTAATTTGAAATCAGTTCTTCCCATATTTATTTTAAATGGTTATTACCTCCATCATTCATACTGCAACTTGTATAACTGCCCTATAAGCAATTTTGTGGACAGTAAGTCCCACAATGGGTATGCCATCAGTATTTGAATACAACCTGTATCAGAAAATGAGGCAAGGGCTGTGGGAGAAAGCAGAAACAGTGCCTTAATGAGGAAGTCAACTACTGCAAACAGAGTCCTCAGAATCACAGAGTGGTTGAGGTTGGAAGGGACCGCAAGAGGTCATCTAGTCAAACCTTCTTGCTCAAGCAGAGACACCTAGAGCACGCTACTCAAGACTGTGTCTAGATGGCTCTTGAATATCTCCAGGGAAGGAAACTCCACCACCTCTCTGAGCAAGCTATTCCACTCCTCAGTCACCCTCACAGTAAAGAAGCTCTTCCCCGTGTTCAGGTGGAACTTACAGTGTTTCAGCTTATGCTCATTGTTTCATCCTATCACCTGGCACCACCAAGAAGAGTGTGGCCCCATCCTCTTGACACCCTCCCTTCAGGTATTTATACACATTGACTAGATCCCCCCCCGAACCTTCTCTTCTTTGGGCTGAACAGACCTTTCCTCATATGAGATGCTACAGATCCTTAATCATTCTAGTAGCCTTTTGCTGGACTCCAGGAGCTCCATATCTCTTCTGTACAAGTGAGCCCAGAACTGGTCACAGCACTCCAGGTGAGGCCTCACCAGAGTTGAGTGGAGAGGGAGAATTACCTCCCTTGACCTTGACCTTGGCAGTGCTTTTCCTAATGCCTCTACCTCCTGTTTCCATCCTTTTCTGCCCTCTCCCTGTATCTGGAAAGACACAAGAAAATACTTCTAGAGAGTTAACTCAGCACACAACCTCAGAGGAACACTTTAATTGAGGGAGACAGAAGTGACTTTTAGATAGGTTTCTGCATATAGAATTCCAATTGTGTTTAGCAAGTATATCCCCTTTTCACTCTGAAATCTCATCTGACCCTCAGGTAATGAAGTATGCCAGCTCATTGCAACTTAGCTCAGAGCAAGACTCAAAGGAAAGAACTGTACAGCACTGTTGACTTCAGCGAGCTTTAGATCACAGCATCATGAAAGTGGCAGCTGGAAGAGAGGTCTGGAGGTCCGTAGTCTGGCTTCTTACCCAAAGAAGCACAGACACCAACATTAGATCAGGTCAGCAATGATTTTGCCTAGCAAAGTTGGGAAAACCTCCAAGGAGAGAGAATTCATGATCTCTCCAGGTCCCCTGTTCCAGTGCTACACCACTACTTGAAACTGAAAAGGTTTTCCTAATATCCTGCCCCTTGTTACATGAACTAAGAATTTGGCTCCATCAGCTTCAGTGTTTCTACCTGGGATATGCACTGCTGTTCCAATGCCAAATACCAGTCGCAAAATTAGAAAAACCCTTGTGAATGCTTAGAACAGGCTTACCTGGGTGAGTGGCTCAGTGGGAGGTGGCGGTGGTGGTGGAAGGTCTAAATCAGAGTCTGGAGGTGGAGGGGGCAAGTCATCCCCAAACTGTCCAGTAATGGGACTTAATTTAGAACAAATGTCACTATCCAAGGCTGTTGAAGGCTGAGTGAGTGTACTTTGCTGGTTGCCAGAAGTTTTCTGGGCTTGTAAAGTTCTCTGTTCAACATCATTTATGTCTGCTACAAGATCAGCCATTAAAGCATCCAGGTCTTTGTCCTCTAGGGCATTTAGGGATTCTGAAAAGGAAATCACAAAATGTGTCAGAGTGAGTGCAATGCAAACCACTATGTTTCCATTTCACTGGAGATTAAATTGCAGAAGGCATGGTTACTGTAAGATATAAGGGTTATGGGAAAGGAAACAACATTTTTAATGAGTTCAAGAAATAAATGTGTTTTAGGAATGGCCGCTAATCTGGTCATACTAAAGTTCAGAGTACAAGGAACTCTATGAATACAAATTAAATAGGACAGGAAGCTTTACTTTCAGTGATACAGCCTCAGGCCCTTACGATATCATAAAGCCTGGCCCTGATCCAGCAAGATTTCTGGGCACATGCTTGGTGATATGGATGCAAGAAATTCCACTAGCTCCCATTAGGCTATCTACTTATTTTACATACATACATAAATGCTCACCAAGTTTTGGTATAGCACAAAACAAACCATGTAACTGAAGCTTAAATCAAGAATATCTTCATATATTGCTATTATTCTATCACTCTAAAATTAACATGAAGCAGAATCAGAGGGTTGTACGACACAAGAAATCGTACGGTATCCTTTGTAGCACATCAGGTTACTGATGTGTGATCAACATCTGTGACATACTTCAGGTAATATGCAGGGTTATGAGGATCCTTTAAGCAAAGAACAAACAAGCCAGTCTCTTTTCAAAAGCATCTTTTCAACCACATATAAATATTGTAACTTTTGCTTTCTGTCTTCTACACTGTCAGAGTACAAGATAAAATCCCATAAAATCACATACAATTTCTTTTTCCGCTGTTTGAACCAGCCATGATGTAAGAGATCCTGTGGAATAACACGCTGTAGGATGATTTAGCTTTCTAGAAGAGAAGGGTTCTTTAACCAAAAGATCTGGTGATTTAAATCTCTTTAAAGAATCTAGTTTAAAAAGAATTAAAAAACCACAAATTGGGAAAGCTTTAAGTGGGATTCTGGAAAGGGATGGAGAATGCTGAACTAGATACTAAAAAATGCTGACATAGTCCAACAAAGAATAGGTCATTCATCAGACTAAGTATGAACACATCACCAGACTGTCCCAGTTTACTCTGCTTTACCTGTTACACTATGTATTTTTATAAGCTTTTCTTCTCAGTGGGGATGTTGGCTTATAATCCTTTCTAGTTACATGCCTCTACCCACTTTGCTGGTAGAGACATCAGGCAGACTAATAGTGAACTGATGCTGGGACAAAAATACAGGTTAAAACCAGCTCAGGCAAATGCAAAAGCAAACAACCAGGCCCCAGCAACAAGAAAGAAGAACAAACCAGCCAACCAACCCCACAAAAACACACACACACAAAAACCCACCACAAAAACAAACACAAAAACCACGAACAACAACCATCCAAACAAAACCAAAGGGAGTTTTCTTCTTTAAACTTGAATAAATTCCGTCAGAAATTGCCTCAGCAAGCAGCTATATGTGCAGAAACAACAGTACAAACCAGAATGACTAAAAACAATGTGAAGTGGAAGCAGCTGAAGCTGATACTTCCACTAGACAAAAATGCTTATGCAGCTCTAAGCTCACACTGAGGAACTTCCTTTTTGATTAAGTTAAATCTTTACATTAAGAAGGTTAAATTTCAGAAAGTTATTTGGGGGACATCTCATCTTTGTTTTCCTCTGCACTCATTTTCAAGTCTGACTTACGTAACATTGAACAAGGTTTCTTTAAAAAAAAATAAATTGGCCCCTTTGAAGTTTCCTAAATTGAGATGCACCTCCTCATCCAGCAGAACATTTTTTTGGTTTGAATATTTTGATTTTATCAAGGGTATTTGAAGTTTTTCTTCTCATTTGTTTTTCTGAGGTAGTTTAAATATGCATAAAAAGCATGAAAGTCCATTCAGCTACTTACCATTTAAATCTTTAAAACCAACTGTAAAGCTGAATTCATTGTTGGACACTTTGGGGGATGGAGGCTGTACAGTCTCTACTCCTAAACTCTGTTAAGGTAGAAGAAAAAAACCAAGGTTATCTGATGACATAATAACTATTACAGAAAATAACATTTGTAAATCAATTACCTGAATTTGTCTAATGAAATTTATTCTTCTTCACAGAATGGAATGACATATACTTGTTTCTGGGATTATGCCTAGACTCATAAATGAAATAGGGCCAGAACAGGGGTTCAAGCATTGTCTCACTATTATGCCAGGTGTTTAATGGCTTGCATGCTTCTCCAATACAGTGTTGACCCATGCCAAATGCAGCTCCTGTCGGGCAACACCCAGGCTTGGTGTGGGGAACAGCAGGGGCTAGGGCTGTTTCTAATAGAGGTAGTGGATAAAGCCAGACTGGTTTTTGGGGTTTGCTGGATTTTTTTGGGGGGTGGTGAATGGACAGAGTGTTGAAAGAGGGTAGCTGTGTACACATCTGAGCTACAGTGCCATCTGCTCCAGAGTGCTTTATTTACTACGACTATTTACTAAATGTAATCTAGCTGTTGCTTTCTTGTGCTGCATGCAAAAAAAAACCAACAACCCAAACACAAGAAACAACAAACCATGCTGCTATTTGCAATACAAACTGCAAATCTGCATAGTTAAATAGAGAATTCCTAGTTTGTCACTTCTGGTTTAGGAAGTGGGCAGGGAACCAGTGCTTCACAAGCCAGGAAAAGTGCATACAGTGGAGACAGAAAAAGATACATTCTCCCTCACACAATGAGAAAAGTGATAGCTTTAATAAACAAACACTGTAGACATGACTGCAAGGAATTTCAAGGGTCTGTCTAGACCATGCACCTGTCCCTAAGGCAGGTCAATTATGACTTGGTGATACCTGCAAAATTTATACCTAACCTGATTTAAAAAGCTTCCTATTAGATAAAGACCGTCATCACCTCTGGCAACCTGTTCCACTGCTTCACTATTGAGACCAGCATTCCTCCCACCAAATCTTTCTTGTGATGTTCATCCTAAACTTCCTTTGCTGCTGCTGGAGACCATTCCCTGTTTCCTACTCTCTGTGGACATGAGGAAACAAGTACTTCTTTCTGCTCTGATGCTGTCTTTGATGTACTTAAGATTGTTATCATTCTCTTCTTCCCTAAGCTAAACAACCTCCTGCAATCTTTTCTTGTAGGTTTTTCTTTACCTTCTCATCATTTCCATTACTTTCCTCTGGATTTTCTTCAACGACCCTACTTCTCAAAATGCTGTGCTAACACTGGACACAGTTTCCCTGTTGAGGTTTTACCAATGCTGCACAGAATGGAAGGATTACTTCATCTGTCCAACAGGCTATATCCTTGTTCATACACTGCTGTGAGATGCTTGTCTACTGGTCCTCATACTCAATTTGTACCAGAGCATTTACACTTCTTAAGAGTTGCCTGAAACTGACAGGTGTTTTCCATGAAAATTAATGCAAATGTTTTTCTTGGCAGCTCTTTTCACCTATTTCCCACCCAAGACATTCTGGTTTCTTCTGAAGTTATGCACAGCTGGAAATCAAAGCAGTGATAGCTTTAAACACTGTTTCTGGTATAATACTCACTCTCATAAAAATAGACATGGTATAAATAGGGGAAGAGGAAGAAATTAAGAACATGGGATAGTTTTACAGTGCCCAAGAAAAAGAGAGAGAAAGGAAAACGTACTGATGAAACAGACTGTAAAAGCATAAAGGGAATACTTTCACTACTAATCTATCAAGAAGCCGTAACATCTCTTAATGGCCATAAAAGTGTAGGGGTTAAAAAAAAAAAAAAAAAAAGTAAATGCAAAAGAAAATTGAAGAGAAAACAATCAAAATGCTAAAAAAAAAAAAAGTACACAGAAATAGCAGAAAAGTCTAATTCTGAATTTGAATGTATTTTTCAGCCATTTTATGCAACGTGAAGGCACTTCTGTGCGTTTCTATCATTTACACTTACTTTAGGAACAGATTGGTGAAAAACTATCCACAGTCTCATTTTGGAAATTTAAGAGTCTAGAGGAAATAACAGATCCAAGTCTGTTAACTGAAAGTCTGCAGGCTTTCAGACACGCCTGGCTCCTCCTGAACAATGCTAAGGTAAGAGGTGATGTCAGCACTTCAGAGAGGAGGAAGAGCTGTCTCCAACTTAGAAGCATGTCCCATCCTACCCAGTACTGAACCTACAAGCAGAGAAAGAAGAGGCTCACTCTCTTACCCTCTTCCCATCATCTGCTGTGCTGTGTCCAATCTGAGGAGGTGACACTTGTGACAAATAGTCTTCTGTTAATTTTCAAGGCATAATAATAAAATTAAACTATCATAAGCCCCTCCCCTTTTATATACATATCTATTTATTTTTATATATATATAAAATAAATATGCATAGTTATAAAAAGCCCTTAAAAAGCAGAAAGGCTACCAAGGGGCAAAGAACTGTGATTTAACAGCTAAGAATGTCATGTGAGATTTTGGCTTTCACACAGCTTATGCACAATTCCTGTTCAGTGGCTCAGAATTGATGGTATTTAGTTTGGCAAGCACTGGGATTCAATAAGAGGAAAGACCCCTCAAATCAGAGGCTGTAAGCAATCAAACTCACACAGAATCCAAGATGACAACTTAAGTGTTTTCAAGCATGCATTTACTAAAATACAACAAAGGTACTGACTTTGTGAATGAAAGAAAGAAAATCTTTTTTTTGAAGAAATAAAAATTTCATCACGTTTTCCAGGATGTATTCCATGAGTATAGGTTTAGCAGTAGGCTCATGATGTTTTATAGTTTCCTCTCAAGAGCATATTCAGCACTGTCAATAATGTCTCTATAAATTCTCGAATGCCACCCTAGCTTAGCAACTCAATATTTTGCCATATCTAAAGATTTACTCTTATGCATCATATCTTCAAAATGTTGCTTTCATTTCCAAAGTTTACATTTGACATTCAGGCCGCATCCCTTTTACCCACATATGCAAAGCATTCATTCCTGAAAATTCTCACTCAAACTCTTCCTGTTTTTCAATTTCTTGGGATCAAGTCCAGAAGAATTTAAATCGCTTATTTGTTTGGGTTTTCTTTCAGATAAAGTGTCTACAGTGTATCTGTGTTTATTCAGAGTGGAGGTACATGAAAAATGTAGAAAAGTCGTCCCTTTTCTCTAACACACAATAGCTATTTTTCTCATCTTGATGAAAAGACTCTGTAACTTACCTGAGTCAACATGTCCATCTCCCCAAGTAAATTGCTGAACATTTCATCTATATCATCACAGGTTTGCTCCATCTGAAAGAAAAAAATTCACATACAAGAAATCATCACAAGTTCATTTCAAAACCAGCAAAAACCTCTGGCCAAAACCAGATGATATGCAATGTTCCCTTACATTGCACTCCCAATTAACTTTAAAACAACTGTTTGTGACTTGCTAAAAACTCCATCCATAGCAGAAATAACCACTATGAACACACATTTGGGCTCTAAACTCACCAAGAGTTCCAACAACCTCCTTGTATTATGTACATTTCATAGGAACTCACTAGCTAATAAACTATAGTTGTATCTTAAACATTAAAGAAATGCAGCTTAAGAGAGATGGAGAGGGAAACAAAGTTTGAGATTCAAAAACCGAGTGCTTCATCTTGAAAGCCTTCTTTCTTTGGCTCAGATGACTAATACAAGTTTATTAGGTGTTATCTAGTGCAAGACCTGGTTATGGTTAGGTACATGACCAACTTTTTGTTTCAGTATTTCTCTCCATTTGCTTTCGAATACCAGTGCACTAGTGTGCTAGTGCACAGGACAGGAACAAATCTAATGATTATAAAGCCTGTTAAGAAAGGAAGACCAGCAAGTATCTTGTTCTTCAATCTTATTGCTCTTCCCTTAATAGAGCATCTTGAGTTACGTAACTATTCCACAGTGAAATAATGAAGGTCACTGAACCACTAAAGTCAGTATCTGTTGTCTGAGAATTATTTGGTAGCATGTCTTTAATATGATAGTTAATACTGGAACAATCTGGGCTGCTCTGCCTCCTTTGGACTTGGCCTTTCTGATATCCACATAAGCAAGACTGACCTGATTGCCACTTGTTCACTTACCACCTGTGTTAGCTCTGACACCAGAAATCATGAGAAGTAGGTTATCTATAGCTTTCAGCAGTTAAGCCCAGGGCACATTTCTACTTAGACTTTTTTTGTAGCTGGTGTAACTGAGCAAGTCACAAGCAACTCAGAAATGGACTTTGAACTTTCACCGTTCTCTCAGATCCCAGAAATCGAAGACTTAAAGATTCAGGAATGGGATGCAGTTAAAGACATTATAAAGGGATGTGGTTGGCAATGCTGAGAGTAACCCTAGCCCAACGGTGGAGACAACACAGTTATGCCCATGTAACAGTGAACACGTCACACTTGACAGTGAATGCAGAGCTAAAGTCATCTTATCTGCTTCATTTCCAGCTGACAAAGCCACACTGGATGGCTCACTCTCTCTGTCTGATTCATAGTTAACCTACAGCAATTTCTATGCAAAATTCCATTTCTGTAGATTCAGCAGTATACTGGCTGGGTATTACTGAATCTTAATTCATTTATTTGAATCAACAGCTGTGTAGCTTCCTACACACCTGGCACTTGGAGAATCAATTTTCATGGAAAGGATAGAATGGCACTTACTTGATCAGGCAGAGCGAAGTCAGATTTGTTACATGACAAAAAATGGAACTTCAGTTCATACTGACAAGTATCTCATCAGTGCTTAAACAATACTGAATAATTTTACATTTTCCTGTTTTCTTATTTAAAAGAACTAAGTATCTGTAGGAGAGTCTTATCAGCTCTAGCCATTTGTACATTTCTGTGGGGTTTCTAAGCACTGGCTAGATCTACTTTCAGGAATAAGTCTTCATACTGGTTCCTTTAACAAACTGATATCCTGCTTCGATATATTTTTCCAGAACAGAAATATAAAAATGGTAAAAAAAAAAAAAAAAAAAAAAAAAAAAAAAACATTTTGGGGTAAGAAGATACTTTTGGGTTATAATGAGGAGACCTTAACAAGAGGAGGAGTAAAACCTGGCTAAAAAGGAAAAAAAAAAACAAACCAAAAAAACAAAACCCAAACAAAACACTAAGAACCTTCGTCAGTAGTGAACAAAAAAAAAGGGGGGGGGACAGAGAACTGAATATTAGATTATACAATTCTTTCACCAAATCACAGGATTTTTAGGTTCTAGTAAATTTAGTTTCTTTCTTTGCAATTACATGATATTATGAATCTTCAGACATGTTTAATTCATAAGGAAAATAATGTAATCTTACGAAAAAGCAATGTGCAAAGAATTCTGTAAGAATTTCCACTGTAAATTGGAGCTGAGTTAGTCACTGATGACTTTGCCTTATCAATTCAAATAAACGACATTTAATACTGGGGGGGGGAGTTGACCTTAGGCACATGGGGGAAGGGAGAAGGCTTGAGCATATATTGTGAGAAGGAAGTAAGTGTCACTTTCAATGAACAGACATCCATCATCACTAGGCTGACAAAGTCACACTGTCACCAAGCCATTGCTCCTGCTGGCATCTTTCTTATCTCTTGAATTTTTACTGATTGTGTTTAGGAAGACAGAATTAACGTCATAATCAGCAAACACCCTGGAAATATTCTTGCATTAAAACACACTGAATGATCTCTTACACTGATATGAGAACTCCTCAAATTTATCAGAGATTTTGTCAAGAGCTAGAAAAGCAAAAGATAGTAAAATGAGCCCCCAAAATGTGGAATTGCAAGAGTGTCCATCTAGTCTCCTCCTCTTTGACTCTTCTCCAGAATAATTTCCATTACTTTTATTTGATTGCCAAAGGAGGAACAAACACAAAACAGTACGCAGATTTTTGAACTATCCCATTCAAGGAAGATGTTGCTGCATTTTGGACCAGCAAATTCTTTTGACTTTTAGAAATAGCCTTGAACTTACTGAAACCAGAAACTCAAAGTGAAACCTGCAGGTGTATGAGCTATCGTTAACAAAAAATGGGAAAAGATTTACCAAGTCCCCAGAAGAATACTGAGTTTCATACTCAGATCTCCTCTATATCCACTAAACAGTAACTTTTCTGTCAGATTATTCTGTATATACTACTGATACGGGTAACTCTTAAAAACACTATCAACTACAAGACACTGAAAAGGAAAAAAAAGTACAGTACTTCTATAGTAAGTTTCTCATGCATAAGATTTTAAGCACATAAAAAATTCAGAATTAAAATAAAAAAGGAAATTGTGGTCGTCAAGAATAAGTATGCTAAGGAAGGGCTTGTGCAAAGGCATACATGTGAAACCTAACCTATTTTAAAAGTGACTGATTTTCAAACTGACTTCTTCCAGACCACTTTTTGAAGTAACACCATGCATACAGGCAAAGGTATTTCCCTGCCTTTTATTTCCCCCAAATTTCACATTCTTGAATCTTCAATGAGATCTCATGAAAAACTTTTTCTTCTAAAAAATACACCCCCCCATACTGTGTATCTAAGGGGTTAGGGCATTTTCTCCTCAGCTTGCTATTCTAGCCACAAAGTCTCACTATTTAGTTTAAACCTTCCAGGTTTATATGATACATACATATTGACTCATTGTATTTTGACTAATCTATATATTTATTCACCCCACCATTTACCAGAAGTCCCCCACACCTGTTACAGTTATTGGTTTTTTGCCTTTCCAATTTCAGATTTAGCAGTCTCTTTATTGATAAAAATAATTTAAATCTAAATTGAGATGTCAATAACAAAACTCTTGTAGTTTAATGTACTCTTTGTACTTCTAGCATCTTTGCATTTCAGCTCACCTGATAAAAAAATGTGGTTTCTGTGTATTTGTTCTTACTTCTCCTTACCTGTTTGTGTTCGTCTTTTACAGTGTCCGTATTTTGTCTGTCATATGGTCTGTTGCCATTTCCAAAGACCTACCTGCAGCCACTCAGGTGCCCTATGAGGGGGCCTCCACCCATTTCCTTTTCACAAGAACCAGCCCTGCTGCCCTGGATGACAATAAAAAACTCCTGTGCACTGTATTTCTAAACTTGGCAACAGACCTCCCCAAAACTCCCTCCCTCTGCTAAATATCTACTCTCTGTATACCCTTATTTTGAAATTGAGATGTAAATTTCTACATGTTTTGAGCTATGTGCTGGAAAGCTGGAGTGAAGTTATCTCACTTCAAAACTCTGAGAAATTTGGCAGATGCACAGAAAGCAAACTAGCCTATAGAGATGGATGGGAAACATTCCCTGGTCCAACTTGCTGCGCTTGCATGAGCAATGTACTTAACTGATAGTGAACAACACTGTTTTCCCATGGGGATGGTCCAGTATTCAAGAGCACCAAAGAAAAACACTGACTGCGAAATTTCTTGCTCAGATGCAAGAATGAAGAAGCAGTCCTTGCACTCAGTCTCAAGGTGCAAAATCTTACCAGGGTTAAGTAGAACTTCACCTATGTTATTTAGTGTCATCCACTGACAGACAGGTGGAGCAGGATCTGCCTTTTCTTCTGTCATTAAAACACGGATGTGATTTCTGCATGGTTACATGTATTTTTATTTGTTAAGATACTAGACAGAATAATAGAACAACTGGGTTTTCTTCTTTTTTTTTTTTAAGAATGAAGACGGTTTTGTGATTTGCACACTTACATAAGACAACATAGCACTATGCCTATGAACAATACATTGAAAATGGAATTGTTCGATAGAATCATTACAACTCGGCAGGAAGCTAACAGAATGAGTAGTAAAACAATGGGACAATGTTCACCTTGCTTAAAAAGAAACTATGAAAAAATATCACGAAAGCTGACAGAGTGATCATACGGTATAGCTCAAAAACCCAAGCATGGTACTATACCAAGCAGAACTTGAACTGTTAGAATCTGATAGCTCTGAGAGTTACTGAAAGACAGTCCCTTTCAACAGGAAGAGTGGTCTAAGTCACATGATAACAAGGCTTCTACACTTGCAATTTGAAAACAAGCTCAAAGCCCTTGTGCAATACTGAACAGGAAACGCCAACGGTATCACACATGAGATTACCATCTCTGCAACTCAGTCTCACTTGAATTGATGCAGTTTAATCAACCTAAGGGCTACAAACAAAAAAGGAACAAAGAACAGCACAGTATCAGTAAAACAAAGACAGACAGCAGATTTAGGCTACCAACAATATTAGGAACCAGTCCTCTTAGTGATCTGGTGAACAGTTAGGACACATTCATTAAATTCA